TTTTTTTTTTTAGTTAAAGTAAATCATTAAAATTAATTCAGTTCTGGATATTTCAATAGTAGAATCTTTTTAAATATCAAAAATTACTTAGAAATGATTACTATGATTTCTATTTATGTGTTCTATTGNCTTAGAAATGATTACTATGATTTCTATTTAAGTGTTCTATTACGATAAAAATGCAAAAAATAATGAGTTTTTCTGATAAATTTACAATAAATAATAATTATAAAACTTTCTGACTGCATATTAATCTTAAAAATAACATTGTTTTAATTCTCATAAAATTTTCTGTTTAATGATTCATTCTAGTCAACAAAGGAGTAATTTTGGAGATTGGAGAAAAAATTCCCAACAAACTTTTTTTTTTTGTTTTAATTAGGCAATTGATGGATTATTCCAAAAGCAACATCAACTCTTATTTCTTTAATTATATCATGATTAGTAGTTCTTTGATTTTAAAATATAATATTTGAATATATACTAATTATAATTATTAAATTTAGTATGAAATTGATATTNGAATATATACTAATTATAATTATTAAATTTAGTATGAAATTGATATTTAATATTGTAATTTAAACGGAGAAATTATAAAAATAATAAAGAAGTTATATTTTGCTTTACTTTTACGTGTATAAAAATTTAAAGGGCTTGATACAATAATTTTCAATAAAAACTGTTTGTTACTATAAAAAAATGCACTGGACTACAAGGAACTTTCATCGGAAACAAAAATATACTTTTCTAAATCAACTTTTCGCGTTGTTTTCAAATCTGCAAGTAGACTATTTCTATCACTTCTAATTTTTTATATTATTACTAATTATATATATAAAATAATAATTAAAAGAAAAAAAAATTTGTTTTCAAATTATTACTGATTTGATTTTTAATATGTTAAAAATAATCAGTCCAAATTTTCAATTTTAACCTATTTTTTTGGTTCTTTAAAGTTGATGAAAAATTTTTGATAAAGATTTATGAAAGTTTATAGTAAAATAAATTGAATATATTACCATAACTTTTAGCTCAATTACAAGTTTAAAATTGACATCTAGGCCAGTCAACAAAGGAAAAATTGCGGAAAAAATTTTGTTTTTTTAAAAGTTGAATTAAAATATGTATAATGACATACTAATAGTCCTCAAGATTGGAATTGAGCTTTTTTTTTAAATCCTCGCAAAAGTTCAAAAATATGAGCTTTCTTAATTTTCTCAAAAAAAAATATTTAACTTACAAAAAAAAGTTTCGCACAAAAGTTGTTTAAAAGACAATTATAAATAAAAATATAATCTTATATTTTTTCATTTAAACAAATATTTTTCGAGTTACATTACATTTAATATGAGTAATAAAATTTATATTCCATTTTTTTCATTTTACGGTTACTTTTTATCATGTTATACTTACATTAGACACAATGTTATAAATGCATATGTGTGTATGTGTGAGTTTATTTATTTATTGTATCATTAAAGTGTAGTGTATATTGAGATACAACCGATAGAGTAGGTAATTGATTTGACGCTATATTATTTAAACCCAACTAAACGCTAAATTGTACATTCCGAAATAACAATCATATTATGTCAATTGCCACCGGAATATCTGGTAATATTTTTCTTTTTCTTTGCCTTAATCCCAACTACTTGGGGTCGGGCACCCTTATCCTAAGATTCCACTTGACACGATCTCCCACATCTTCTACGCTCACATCAGCTGTCCTCAAATCGCATTCAATAGCATCCCTCCATCTCTTTTTTGGTCTTCCTCTATCTCTTCTTCCTTCAACATTCATTTCTATAACTGTTCTTACAGCTTTCGATTCTTCTTTCCTCATACCATGACTAAACAATCTAAGTCTATTTTCTGTCATCTTATCCACGATTGACGCAACACCTATACTTCCTCTTATATGCTCGTTCCTTATCCTATCTTCTCTAGTCACTCCACTCATCCAACTAAGCATTCTCATCTCTGCTACACTTATTCTCTGCTCTACTTTCTTATCAACCGCCCAACACTATTAACCATACATCATAGCTGGCCTCACAATTTCATACTAAATTTAAAAACTATAATTAGTATTTATTCATATATTATATTTTAAAATCAAAGAACTACTAATCAGGATATAATTAAAGAAATAAGAGTTCATGTTGCTTTTAAAATATTTCACCAATTTCTCTAAAGGAAACACTATCTACAGATTTGCATCGAAGCGTTTCTTATGATAGTGATTTTAATCACTGTCAGATATCATTTATACTTGTCCCATCTATGCCTCGTCCACACTGTGCCTCGACCCCACTGTGCTACCGTTTTTTTATGTTAAATCGACTAAAAAGTTGTGATGACTTATCTGAAATTAAGACGACTGGTAAGTCCTTTGATAAAAATGTGACAATTCACCGATTTTTAAATTAAGTATTTTATCACCTATTTCTTCAAATAATGCACTTCTATTTAAAATTTTTTATTTTTTTGTTCCGTTGTTAATCAGTGTAATAGATATTTAGCACTTATGATTTTATTTTATTTATATTTTTATACAGATGATTTTTCTATTAAACCACATTATTGTGGAAGATCATAAATATAAACACCAATACAAATATGAAACATTAACTCAAATTAGTAGAATAATAGATTGCGCATAGGTCTATTCAAGTTTACTTGACTAGCCAATGAGAAGGATTTTGCAATTAAAATATAAAACATTAAGTCTTCCCCTCATAAAACAGGTCTATAAAAGAGTGATTTTTAGCTCATTTACACCACCTTATTTTTTCTAAGAATTTGGTCATGAAGCATCTCTGAACCAGAATATTTCGCGATTGTGCTCTCTGAGACGTAGAATCTTTTTACACTTGGTGTTTATTATCTAAATCTCTCATAAGTAATGTAATTAAAAAAAAATAACTTAACCTTTTTATCTTTTTTTATTTTTAACAATTTGGCCATTGAGGCTTGGCGCCCAACAACTTGACAGTTGCAACTTACGTAAACACATATAGTTTCTTATTTCTAAAGCATAACCAATAAATATTAGGAGTCGTAAAATTCTTCTACATAATCGTTGCACATTTCATTGTAGAATTAATATGACTCAGGTGTGTGTCATACGGATGTCATTTTCTTGCGATCTACATTTTACGACAAAACATGAGCGGTCATTGTATCTTAACAAAAAATTCATGATTATATACCGTATGCTTTTATTTTCATTTTGTAGCTAAACGAACTTCAAAACTCCGTTAAACATAATATTTATATTCTATTTCTATATTCAAAATTCAATTTAGTTATCCTCTCATCACTTTTTATGACAAAAATTATTTCTTGTGTTTCATCATCCCAAAATATAAAAACATTCTTCATACATATTTCTTTTTTTTATGATATTAGGAATCAATAATTGAAAAAAGAGCTGGAGTTTCAATTGAATTAAGTGCAATAAACTAGACTTGAGACTAACAATTAATAATGGAACAACAAATTCTTTTTAGAGCCATTTCTTCCGTTAGAGTCAATTTAAACGGTTTTTTATATAGTAACATTTTTAATGAATAAATACCTTTTTTTATCCGACGTGTTAAGTGATGTGCTCCAGGCTGATAAAATGTTATAGTCTTGCTTAAATTTTCTCCGAGAAATATTACTATAAGCTCCAGAAATTCCCAATAGTCATTGTGAGAAAATCGTTTTGTAATTTTTTTCAGAGATTTGTAGTATTTTTTCTCTATTATTTTTAAATATATTTAAGTTTTGTCATTAGACCAAATGGAAAATTCAGTTTTATTTATTTTTTCCCAATCATTAACAAATCTCTTAAAAAGTGATTTGAACCATTTGACGGAACAAATTTTGCTTCAACAAAAACGGCATGAATTATTATTTCAAAACAAGTATACTTCTTTCTAATTTTTTTCCAATAATACACAAGCACCATTTAATCGACCAGAGTTAGACGCTGTTAAATACAAAGTATTGAACTTTATTTAATAATGCCCACTTTTCTAATTCGCAATTTAGTTTGCCAACTATTGTGAGTAAAATGTTAGAATCCCAATGAACTATAGCAAATTCTATGTTAAGTTCAAAAAACTACCACAACATGTAATTGTAAATGATAAAATATCCATAGTTTACATTGCACTTACCGTGTCAAACATAAATAGTTTACGATTAGAGATAAAAGTCACCAATTATAAACCATTTGTTGCATTGGCGTAATGCAATTTTGTAGTAAGAGTAATTCGTTGCTATCAGCTGATACTAATGGCAATATGATAAATTATATACATATGCAAATAGTAGTAAAATACATAAAAATATTTAAATAAAAATATCATGAAAGTAATTTCATAAGATTAACATGTGAGACTAAATGTAAATGTATATATAAATTTCGCGATAACAGCAAAATTATAAAACTGACTATCATTTCACATAAAACCAAATTTTACCCAAATGATTTTCATATAATAACGAAAAAAATTGGCGGGATCGATCATTGAAAGTTAATAAAATAAGAGCCACCCTAATATGCATGTAGTACATCGGTCACGACAAAATCAGATCAAAATAATTTAGGAGTGTTAGAAAGAAAGATATTAATGAAACATTTTGGACCAAGGAGAAAAAACGATGTAGAGTATGAATGATAAACAACGAAGAATTGGTAACCTTTATAAGGAACTTTACTATTATTATTAATAATAATAATAATAATATAATTATTCATTATTATTAAGAGTACGAGAATAAGTTGGACAGAGTACGTGTGGAGGACGGAAGGAATGATTCGATTAATAATTAAATGGAGACCCGGCACTAGCGGATGGCCTAAACAAAGAAGGATAGATAGAGTACAAAAGGACTTGAAACTTTTGAATGTAAGGAGCGCAGAAAAATGTGCAAAGGATAGAGACAGATATTGATAATATGATGTTGCGACGATGGACCTTAAGTCTATAAAAACGCAGAAGAAAAGAAAGAAAAGTTTAATCGTAGATTTCATACCCACTCATAAAAAATAAAAATAGGATAATTTTTATAATTTTAATGGGGAGTTTTACAGAGGAGCCAATTAGCTCCTTTGTAAAACTAATTTTGTAAAATCAACAAAATTAAAATTTTTATATTTATTTTAATTTTTTGTCTGATATTTAATTAAATAAAAGTTAATTTTTACGTATAAGTCTAATTTTTGTAAATCTATTTTAATTTTAAAATTTATGAATGTTGGTCATCAATGTTCGATTGTTTCATATGCTATAGAAATTGAATTATAAGCGGACAAATGTAAATATTATTTAATGTTTAGGTAGACATTCGATATCAGAAACTATGAGGGTAACCGTATGTTTACATAATTTCAAGGACACTAATAAAAAGCAATAAAGAAGTCACAGATGCGCACAAAGGTTGGGTTCTTTTTCAATGGAATTAAAACATTTGAAAACTATAACTGTTGAATAATAAATCACATAGGTCACTTGTTGAACTAGACATATTCTGCTGTAAAATTTAACACATGACTTTCCCACTCCAATCTTTCAAATAGTATACTTGTCTATGCTTTCGAGTGTTAGACATGCGTAGAAATGTGTTGGTTATATATTTTTAAAATATCTGCACACGCCGGATTTTTACCTCTAGTCTAATTATTAGTATAATGCTCTCGATTGATTTGAAATTGTTATGTTGTGATTCTAAATTGTTCGCGGCATTTTCATGGCGTAAATATGCTTACCGTCATTCTTATCTACATTACATGTGATTTTTTATTATAACCAAAAATTAAAAATATTATCATTGGTCAGCAATGAGATTAAAATTTTAATTCAAAGTTAGCAGTTTTGTCTTTACTCTCAGTGAGACGCTTTGTTAAAATTACTTGTTTAAATTGTTTTTGATAGTTTTTTACTTGTTTTTTTAGATTTAATCGTTTTGGTAAGTATTGAGATTTTTGCTTCTATATATATATATATATATATATTAATCATTTTTTTAAGTTTTGTATCCTTAATAAAATATTGCTTAGTGAAAACCATTAAGAATTTTCCCAAAATTTACAAGATGGTATAAAAATAATACTTAAGTTTTAAAATAGCAATTTATCATTATTTGTACAAACAGTTAAATGTTTTATACAAGTCGCATATTAAATTAAAAGCTTGAATATTAATGTATATATTTAGAATAATTCATTCTTCTTTACTCTAAATTCTACTTAATTATTATTGAAACATGCTATACTTTAACCATAATAAATAAAAAATTCAGAGCTGAAAGAATCAAAGTGACATTTATATTAAAATGAGAGTGATAAAAAAGTGCAAAAAATAATAAAACAACCACTCTTATGAGTTGATTAAAGATTACATTGAATTTTTAAAGTGTAGTTCTAATTGTCATTGATTTACTATATAAACTATTGAAAAGATAATATTTCTTAATTTTCTTATTAAATTATCTTGGAATAACTTTTTTATTACTTTGATCCTTACAGCTTTAGGTGCTTCAAATAATGTAGTAATGATTGTTAAAAATTCAAAGGTTTCAAGTCTCTAAGTATAAATTTTACAAGATAGCTATTAAAAGTTTTGAAAGACTTACAATGGGTATATAGTTCATTTTAAAAATTTCCCCAATTAAATTAAAAACAATTTTTGAAGAAAAATAGATTTCAAATAATTGGCTTCAGTCATTTAACATGATATAAATATTAGAGAGGAAATAATGTAATAATTGTTCTAACAAGTTTGAAAATGTTCTTGAGTTTAGTATTTATCAATTAATACATAAACTGAAATAAATATAAATGTATAATTCTTTTGATTTTATTTTACTTTGTATTAGTAATACAAAGTATACTTATAAAATACAAATATTGATGCAATTCAAGTGTATAAAAATTTCTGTTTACACGATATTAGTCTAATTTTCAATTTTTGTACCAAATCCATTTAATTGAAATAAAATATATGTTATTAGTTAAAAATATATTGATACCTTTCTTAAAATGATGTTAAATTAATTTTTCTAGATTATATACCTCTAAACAAATATGGAAGAAGAAAACTGGGATGAGTTATCTGGAGTAAATAATATACCAGTAATTCAATCAAATGATTATTATGAAAATAATGGAGACTATGATAGCCATAATTATGGAGCTGGTTTATGTGAACCAGCTGATAAAAATGAATATAACAATGAGGATTATGACCATTTAGAACAACATAAAACTTATGACTCTTGGGGTAATACAATGAGTTCAGGAAATGATAACCATCAAGTAAATGGTTACGCAAATGGAGAATCATGGGGAAGTAATGGTTATAATTATCAATGTAATGAAAATGGTGATCATAGAGAAAGAAATGGTAGTAATTCGAGATATAATAATGGGTATAGCACCCAACACTATAGAGATGAAAGTAGAGGATCAGGGTTTCGAGGAAGAGGTCGTGGTCGTGGTCGTGGCCGTGGCCGTGGTAGAGGTCAAGGTACAAGTAGAAACTATGAACATAATTCAAACAATGATTACAGCAATAATGAAGAATTAGAGAAACCTGCAATACCAAAACCAACATATATTCCTCCTGATCTTGAAGATATTGATGATTCTGTTGTAACTATGGTTGCTGGTTTAAATTTTGATAAATATGAAAATATTGATGTGAAAGTTAGTGGTATAAATGTACCAAACCATATTACTACATTTCAAAATTCTGGTTTACGAGAATTGCTCTTAGAAAATTTAAAAAGATCAAATTATACTGTACCAACACCCATTCAGAAGTATTCTTTGCCCATAGTTCTTGAAGGGAGAGATATGATGGCAAGTGCACAAACAGGTTCTGGTAAAACAGTAAGTACAAGTGTGTTTTTATAACCGATTATTTTTTGTAATTTATTTTTAGCTTCGATCAAAGCTGAGAATTTTACCATGATGTATTTATTTTTTTTTTTGTATGTCACTACATTTTCTCAGCTCTCCTGGATCGAATTTTCTCAATGATATATCAAAAGATAACAAATCATATCTAGTTGAAGACATTACCCTCAAACATTTTAAAAAAATTTTCCTCATTTCCCGTAAATGGTGGAAATCTCCCAAAAAATTACAATTCTTAAAATCGGTAAATTTCGACATTTTTTTACTTTTTTTTCTAAAAATTGCCATAATTGTTGAAAAATGAAAGAATCTAAATAATTTTTTCTTATATTGACACCTTAGATATTTCCTTTTTATTTAATATAATGTCTACAGGGAGGTATTCAAAATAGCAAATTTTTTATAATACTCATCTTTCTCAACTTAACTTTTGAATATGTTCTGGAAATACTGTTAAAATAAACATATGTTAAATGAAAGCTTATGTTACATACTATAAATTAAAAAAAAAAAATTTTATGACGACCTCTCTTCTATGTATAAATGATTGTCATAGTTAAAAAAAAAATGCTATTTATATTCAGAGTTTGTTAAATTTTTATATCATTTAAATTGAATAACTTCATGAAATATCAAGTATCCCATCACTGTAGTGTCTCCTTTTGAGATTATTACTAATTAGAAACACATGAAACCATTATTAAAAAAAAAATTTTTTTATCAATTTATTATTGAATTTTGATTTGTTAAAAATAATCCATGTACAATTTCTATTCAAAATAACACTTTTAACTTTTGATCCTTTAAAGTTGATTTTTATAATAGTTTCTAATGAAAAATGTTGAATTTTTAAATACTATTTTAGTTCAACTTGTAAGTTTAGAATTTCTATCATTAAATAGACAATTTTATATGGAATAAAATATTCTATTTTTTTAGATTGATATGTAATCAGAAACTTATATAATTACTATTAGCAGTAAATTTGTGAAGAAAACTCAAAATTTTGTTAAAATTTTGTTAAAATATTTTATTGTATTAAATCATTTAATAGAAGTCTTAGTAAGCATTTTTATGCAACTCTTGGTGTTTAAATAATTGTTTAAATTGATATCCTGTACATAATACATTTTCTTATTTTTATAAGAAAAGTAAATCAAAATTGTTTTTGGTTTTAAAGGAGTCTAATAAAAATATGTTTTTGGGGTATATTAAGATTTAAGATACTTTTCTAAGAAATCTGATTTCTTTAAACATACATCAAATAGAAAATAATAGTATTCTTTAAAATGAAAAAAAAACCTTCTAAAATCTCGATTTTTAAGAAATAACTCATACAAAACAATATTTCGAAAAACAAATGAATTAGAGATAAATTCAAGCAATTTTTAGAAAAAATTATTAATTTTGTAATATTTTGTATATTAATGGAATACTTACATCATTCTATATATTTCTAATTAAAGCGTGTTTAAAAAAAATGATTAATAAAAAGAAAAATGTTTTAGTAATTTGTCATATATGGGTTTTCAATCTCTTAAGTCAAAAACCATTTTATTTTTAGTAAATATGTTAAAACATATTTTAGTGTTTCAAATACAAATCAAATATTGACACTCTTTGATATCAATCAATATTAAACTGCAAAAATACCTTAAATTAATTTTACTGGAAGCATACTATACTTTATTTTTTAATTTTCAATCTAATTTTTCCTTGACTTTTACTTATCTACTTAAAATAAAGTCATCAAAAAGCCCCTAGCAAAGCTGAATTTTGTTACTAATTGTCCAAATTATATTAATTGTAACCAGTCTTGTCCTAAATTTTAATACTGAAAGTGCACCTGTTTTAATTATTTTATTTTATACTTAATTTTTATATTCTCAATTAAACATAAAATATTTCAGGCTGCATTTGTTCTACCTATTTTACAAAGTTTATTGAGTGATCCTTCGGATTTAATATTTGATTATGACCATTGCGAACCTCAAGCAGTTATCATGTCTCCTACCAGAGAACTGACTATTCAAATATGTGAGGTAGCTAAAAAACTAAGTAGAGGAACAATAATCAAATGTGAACTTCTTTATGGAGGAACTGCAACCTATCATCAAAAAAGCAAAATTTTGGTATAAAAAATTGATTATGGTTAAATTAAAACTATTTAATATTAATAGTGAATTTATAATTTATAGAAAGGAGTACATATTGTTGTAGCCACACCAGGACGTTTGAATGATTTTGTTAACCGTGGTTTAGTAACTTTTCAATCAACTCGCTTTTTTGTACTAGACGAAGCAGATCGAATGTTAGACATGGGTTTTAAACCAGAAATAGAGCGTGTTTTGCATCACCATACTATGACTCCAACAGTAATTGTTTATATATAAATATTAGATCATTAAATATGCTATTAATTTTGAGACCCATTTTCCCTTAATCAGAGATTCCTGTTTTAAAATGATTAGCCCATTATATGTTATTGAAAGTGATAAATCCAGAAAAATGTTCATAGTTAAAGAGAAGAGCATGTTAATTGATGACATATAATTATTATTTATTTTAATACAATGTATGAATCATTTTATTATTAATCTTTACAGACAGAAAGACAAACTCTTATGTTTTCAGCAACATTACCAAGTGAAATTCAACAAATGGCATGTATGTACTTAAAATCAGATTATGTATTTGTAGCTGTAGGCGAGGTTGGTGGAGCTTGTAAAGATGTATCACAAGAAGTGCTGCAAGTAAAAAAATTTGACAAAAAACAGGTTTTAACAGATATATTAGAAGAATTAGGTAATCTTCTTATAATGATTGATAAATATTTTAAGTAACAATAAAAATAATTGTATTTAAATTACCATTATTACAAAATTTTTCAAATCTATTTAGAACAATTATGCCAAACCTGAGCTAAAAAACTAGTAATCAAAGTCGGAATTAGTTATATAAATAAATTAATATTATATAGTTTATAAGGTTATATATATTTAACAGTAGATTAATAAAGAGATTAAAAAAAATCTTTTGACTTTTTATTCACTAGTTATATTGTTGTAAGTTTAAATAAAATTTGTTATAACTGTTGGGACAATATTTATCTCGGACAATTATATTTATTTTTCTTTTACACATAATAATTCATATAATATGAGTTATTATTGTTGAGTTCACAATTGGTTAAACAAATAATTGTCTGCAAATCTATTATTTGTATTTATTTTTATATATATCTTGTTTTACTAACATTATATATTTATATATATTTCTTATCAAGTTAATAAAAATTTAAAAATGATTGTTTATTTAGATGACTGTCAAGGTACTATTGTATTTGTGGAGCAAAAAAGAAATGCTGACTTCATTGCAACATATTTAAGTGAAAAAGATTTTCCAACAACAAGCATTCATGGTGATCGTGAACAACCAGAACGTGAAAAAGCCCTTAGAGATTTTAAAACTAAACGAATGAAAATTCTGGTAGCCACAGCTGTAGCAGCACGAGGCCTCGGTAACATTATTTTATTATTAAGTTTCTTATTATAAAAATTATTTTTTCATCTATAATATTCTTTAACAAACATAAACACTTTTTTTTTTTTAATTAATACGCTAAATTATTAGACCTTTTGATTTTACTTAGCTTTAATGCAAAGTTGAAAAGGTATTAATTTCATTATGAAATGTTTTTATAAATTTTTTTGTGTGTGTGTATGTGTGTGTCACCACTCATTCTCAGCTAACACTGGACCAATATTGATAAACAATACATCAAAATATCACAAATTATATCTAGTCGAAGACATTACGCTCAAAAATTAAAAAAAATTTCCTCGTTCCCCATAAATGGGGGAAATCTCCAAAAAAATTATAAATTTAAAAATCACTAATTTTCGACATTTTTTAACTTAAAACTGTTTAATTTTTTGTAAATCTGACCTTTATCTGTCCACAGGAGGGGTTTTAAAACGGCTACTTTTCCATAAACAATTAACTTTTGAAAATTTTTCAGAAATACTGACACTTTTATATATCTTAAATTAAAGCAATATGTAATATACTACATGAAAAAAAAAATTTGACCTCAGGACTTGTCTTCATGGTAAAAATGACAGCCATTAATTCTTGATATTATATTTTACATTTTATAACTTTATGTTTCTATAACTTCTAAAAAATTTTCTAGATCAATACTATTTTTTTATGATAAACTCTATTTATATACCTTTTTCATTCTACATACTTTTTTAGACACTATTATTTTAGACCAATACATTATAAAAACACAATTTTAATTTTGTTGAACTTACAATCATCAAATATTGGAAAATTCTTTAATTTTAGAAATTCAAACAAATGTCTCAACATTATGCTATATTGAGTAGATTTTTTTAACAACAATTTTTTTTTTTTATGTCTGTCCAGAAAAATTCTTAGTTCTCACTGTACCAAGTTTGATGATAATACGTCAAAAGTACCTATTTTTTAATCTAGTTAAATTAATAGTCATCAAATATTGTACAAAATTCCTTAATTTTAAAATTTAGACAAATATCTACTGTAAAAAATAACTTCAAAAAACTTTTTTTTATTAAATATTTCCAAATTCATAGGAGTATAAAATTTGTTTTTGTTTTAAATTACACAATAAAATTATACCACTAATATGAAACATTTTTTTAATCAGCATAAACCAAAATATACTTTACTTAACAAAATTTTAATACTGATTTCAAATCTGCAATTAGATTAATTTCCATCGCCTCTTTTTTTTAGATTACTAATTTATAAAAACGAGTATTTACATTTAATATGTTAAAATTATCCATGCAAACTTTTGATTCAAAATGTCATGTTCAATTTATTTTTGTAGTCCTTCAAAGTTGATTTTAATAAGAGCTTATAATGTAAAAATGTTGAACTTTTAACCTTTATTTAGTTTAACTTGAATGTTAAAAACTGGTATCATTAAATAGAAAATTTTAAAAAATATTTAAAAAATGATTTTGTTTAGATTGATATATGATCAGGATTATATAATTACTATTAACAGTAAAATTATAAAAAAAGTACAAAATTTTGTGAAATCACTTATTATATTTATATTGTTATAAATCATCCCAATAGAAATATTAATGATACTATAACTGAAATATTCAGAACTATATTCTATAGTTTTTAACTAATTATAATAATGTCTAAAATTAATGGTGATAGAAAAAATCATATAGTGTATTATATATATAGTATATTTTGGAATATGATTAAAATTAATTGTAAAACTTTTAATTCATAATTAACAACAAATTATTTTCTTAAATGTTTTGTATCAAGCTCTTCAATTTTTATACAAGTTTGCCATAAAAGCAATAACTACTTTATAATATTTCATAATTTCTCTGTAAAAATTATAATACTAAATTATTAAATATCTATTTCATACTATATTTAATTGCTATAATAAATATTTATTCATATATTACACTTATATATCAAAGAACTACTAATCAGGAATGATGAAGGTAATGGGAATTTATTTTGCTTTTAGTATAATTTATCAATTTCTTAAAATTGAACATTATCATAGATTTGCATTGAAATGTTTCTTATGATAGTAATTTTAAAGACTGTCAGATATCATTTATACTTGTTCCAACTATGCCACATCCACACTGTCATGACCCCACTGTGCTACCGTTTTAGTAATAAATTTTACATGGTATAATCATAATTATATATTTATTATTTATAGTTCTGTTGTGTATAATGGTTTCGACTTTATTTTCTTCTGATAGAAATGTACATAACTAATTAACATAAAAAATAGAAAATTATGACAACTTTTGAACTAGTATTTCAGAAGTTATAAATAATTTAAAATATTGACTGGAGGCTGCTGCTATTTTTATCATTATTCATTTCTCAATCTCACTCCTTTCCGTGACTAAATAAAAAGATCTTAATAACTTTCTTAGTACTAATACAAAAGTTTTTATCCACCAGTCTATTACTAATTAAATTATTTTCTATTTTACTAGCTAATTAAATATATATATTACCATTAAAATGAATAAACTTGATACCCTTATTAAACATAAAGGATAAACATAAAATGTATTTTCTAATAGATAAATGGTGTTATATATGTAACTAAAAAAAGCCAAAAAAAAAAAATTATTTTAAAAGAAATTGAATAGCTACTATTAAAAGAATTACTCTTTATAGGCATTGGTAGTAATCTTATAGAATAAAATATAGTGATGATGTAAAGTTGTAAAGTTTAACATGAGACAAATTATTTTTTGATTCTCCAGTAAAACTGTAATTTTGTAATTGTTTGTTGTTGCTGTAAGGGTAGCAATATTTTTTGCTTTTATTTTATATTTGAAAAATGTATATAGTTCATTCATATCTATTTTATATTACAATGAATTATATATGAATGAGTAAAAAATAACCTTGAATTAAACATTTTTAGATATCTTTGTTTATATTACACATTCATAATTTCAAAATGTTTATTTAACTGTTAATTACAATATTTTTCTATTTAATTATAGATATAACTGGCGTTTCCACTGTTATAAATTTTGATTTACCAAAAACTGTAGATGAATATGTACATCGAATTGGTCGTACTGGAAGGCTTGGAAATGCTGGTCGAGCTGTTTCATTTTTTGATCCAGAATATGATCAAGCTTTAGCCCCTGAATTAAAAAGAATTCTTCAACAAGTTAGTAAATAATTAAATTTATTTTTACAACTAAATTTTTTGCATTAAATTAGATAAGTACTATTTAGAAGATTATTAAGATCAACTGATGTATATTTAGTGCACAAAAATCTAGTACTTGTAAGGTCCATAATGACTTTTTGGTTAATCCTTAAAATTATTTATTCATTTGTCTTAAATATCTCATGAAATTTTTGATATAACATTTTAAGAATTAGAATTACTAATATTTAGGAGTAAAATTGAACAACTAACACTTTAAAAAAAAACTTAATTAACTGTGACTTATTTATTGTGATATTTTCTTTGTAATATTTTATTAGGCTGAGCAAGAAATTCCAGAATGGTTAGATAAGTTTGGTGGTATAGCTGCAGAACCCAATATGCAATTTGATGACATTAGAGCGGTAAGTCTTAAATATTTTAATATGAATGAAAAATAGGACTGTATTTAGTTTTTGGTGGTCAAATTATCTAGTTTAATTATGATAATTGATCATTGAGATCATACAATTAATTAGTTATTTTAATTTTACAGGATGTAAATTCTGAAAATGTAATAAAAAATGAAGAAGAAGAAGAGGTATGGTAAAAATGATATATGATTATGTATTTATTTAAACAGAAGTATTTACTACTTTTTTTTTGGTGTTAAAATTTTAATAGTGCCTTTTATAATTATTATTACTAAAAATATTTTATTTTATAAAGGAATAAAAAAAAAAAATTAACAATACTTCTACAATAAATATTTTGTATTATATAAAAATATTTAGTGTAAACAAAATTATTGGTCTCTTTTATTTGATTGAATTTATTATATATTTAAACATATTTTTTTGGTTTATATAAGTATAATATCTAAATTATTGTTATATTATATATTTTCAATTATTCTGAGCATATTAAAAAATTGTACTTTAGGGTCTTGGATTAATGTAGCCTAATCGTTCTAACTTTTTTGATAGCAAAATAAAATATTCATTTTAATTATTGAAAAAATATATTTGTAAATATAAAAAGTCAATTTATTTATTTTACTAATAATACTCTATTTATACAATAAACACATTTTTATTATTGTTTAAAAATGAACTAATAATTATTGTTACTGATTATAATTAGTAAATTCTAATTTTGTTTGATTTTATTCTTTAATCCTAGACTCTATTTGATTTTTAAATCCTTAATTCCAGCAAAAAGGAATTTTAACTTAATTTTATAAACTTTTGGGAAAAATTTTTACAAAACAGTTAATATTATATTATATAAATACACTTTTTACATAAGATGACTTATACAAAGACTGATGAATTTTATTTGTAAAATATAATCATTTTTATTATAAGATATTATTGGAACCTAAAAATAATATATATATATTTTTTTTTAGTTAAATGATTACTGAAATCATAATTTTTATCTTTGTATTAACTTTATATCTTATATAATAAGATCTTTCGATCTTGTTTTGTTACATCTATAAATATTTCAAAAATTTTGTAAATTTTAAATGTGAAAAAAATATTTTATAAAAATAATTTGTTTATTTTTTTATTTATGGATTTTTTTTTATGTCTATTGAAAATGATTGTTTTGAGATAAAATGGATCATTGTTTAAATTATAAATCTGAATTATAAAATGAAAATAGTATTAAATATAAATTTATGGTTTTGTTTTTTTTTATAACAATCTTACCTTATTTTCATCTTTGTGATTCATTCACTGTATGGTTTCTAAAGTTCAATTTCCAGTTATTTGATGGCTTAAATTGGGGTGAACACTTACTCATATATAAATGTTATTAAAAGTGATACCTATGTTCCCCTTACTAATAAAGCATTATTCCTTAATTTATTTAATATTAAAGATAATCGCCTATTTGTAGAGTAGGATTATTTTTGATAATTCGGACCATAACAATTAATTGAGTAAATAATAAAAGTTGTACTCAAAATTTTATGTATAAGAGTTTGAGACTTTTTTAATTAAACCATTTTTAGAATTTTACCATGCTATTAACTTAATTGACTTGTTTTGTTATTTATTAAAAAAATTCTATGTAATTTTAAAAACGCTTATACAATTGAATTTTATAAATTTAGCTGATAAAATATAAATTTAATTTCTGTAAACTGAATAACTAAATTATCATTTCTTACATTTATAAAAAAATTTATTAATGAACAAAGTGTACTAATGAATAATGCACTATGAACAACCATAAATGTATTATTTACTCTAAACTAAGGTATAAATATTATTTAACACAATAGTTACGTTTCCCGATCACGTCATTTTATCAGTTAAACAACAAAAAATTGAAGATATGTACATGTTAAGGTCAAATTAAACATTATATCAATTAAAATATTACTAGCACTATAATTAAATAATAAATAGGAAAAAGTAATTTGTAAGTATTTTTAAAATATTTAACAATAATTGTTTTGAATTTTTTAAATGGAAACAGTTTTTAATAGAAATATAAATTTGTTTGTAAAAAAATACTGTAGAAACTTAAATAATTTTATTTAATCAACATCAATATCATAGTATTTCGAGCTGATTTTTTAGTGTAACGTAAAAATTTACACATAATTTCCACTATAATAGGCGTCATAGTATATTGTTTCAAAACCATGTTCACGCATTTGTTTATCGATCCAATTTCTAAATAAGGGGACGTTGACATAAACTCCAGGAGTTCCATCTTCGCCACAACCTATTCCCCATGCAACCATTCCAGCTTGATGGAATTTTTCATGATTTTCAGGCGTAGGACACATCAATGGACTACCACCATCACCCTTGAAATATTTTTAAACATTAAGCTTCTCTTATATTTTTGTTATTATTACGTTTGTCATTAACGTAAACTAAATTCAACTTGCTCATAAAATTTATGGGTAGGTATAAAAGTAGAATTTTATTTTGGAAAGCTGTTTTAAAAAAAAAAAAATTTTTTCACGTGATACAATTAATTTTAATCCTTATAACTATATTATGGCTGTGAAGGGAAGGGAGTCCAGACACAAGTACTGGTTTAAGAGGAAAGCGTATATTATCAATATTTAAAGTCCGAACTTTTTTATTATAATAGAACGCTAAGTAAAATTATTTGTTAAAATAAAAATCCACATAATTTTGAAGTAATTATTCAACCAACAAAAAAATTTTTTTCATTCTTCCCTTATTTTTAGTTTCAGGACTCTGCTGAATATGAGTGTTAATTAGATTTAAATCTTTAATTATTAAGAATGTAAAAATTAATTAAGTAGACTGTATGGATTTAAAATAAAAAATATAGATTTTATGGTTTACACTTTACTATATCAGTTTTTTTATTGGCTTTTCACGTACTCTTACTAGCGTCAAAGTCTTATATGTGTACAATGTACATATAATATATACTATATAATTATAGGACAATAATAGTGGACTAAAGCCCCTTTAGGCTCTATTGTGTATGCAACTTGTCAAGAGGCGCTAAAAGCTAAATTATTATTAATTATGAAAAATTTATAAGTCATTTTATTACATATTTGAGCGTTTGAAGTTTCATTAACTAAAATATTTAATAAACTTAAAAGTTAACTAAAGTGTTATTTATTTTATGATACTCACTTTGCATGTATCTTTTCCAGACTCTCCACCTGCACAAATAAAACTTTCGTGCAACTTGAAACCCTGTCCAAGACGAGTGCGTTTTAAAGCTGCCTCGCAAGGATGCTTCGGTACGATCGGTAAAACGATCTTTTTTAAGATAATCTGATAAACACCAGTTTTACCTTAACACAATAATCAATTATAGGTTTTCATTATAATTGTATTTTTTAAGAAAATCTACTTTTTTAATATAACAATAGCTCAATAGCTAAATTGAGCAGTTATTTTTACTTTGAACAGTATATTTTTAGTTTAACTTACCAAAGACATCAGTACCCCACCCGCTAGCATAGCACTTTTCTTGATTAAAAACGAAATTTTGCGGTGGTAAACACATTGTACCGACATTATCCATCAATACGAATGGTTCATTAACAATTACTAAAGCGACATCATTATGAAGAGCTCCACCATAATATTTTTCGTGACGAATTATCTTTTTAACAAATCTATCTTGATGACGAAAATTTTCCAACTCAGTTTGAGTATCCCATTCACCTGCTCGTATCACTAATTTACCTTGATCATTAATAAACCTATATGAAAAACATATATAAAACTATATAGAATGACCAAAAATTAAGGGAACAGGTCAATTGTTACAAATAATGGAAACTCTTTTCCATACTTGTTGAACACCGGGGATGGCCCAGATAAAATTGGAGGGGGTTTTACTATTTCTGTTAAAAGGCTATTTTTTTAAATGTATATAACATGCAGTAGTGAAAATAGGGTAATAATTCGGATAACATCGATTTTTTAATAAGTCATAATTTATGACTAATTGTAAGACTCTATTTAGCTTATGACTCATTAATTAAAGTAGGCAAACAATTTTTATATACAACCTCTCATTTACCTTATAATTTTACTTTTATATAAATTTTAATTGTTCAGCGTGTCAGGAATTTATCCCGATGAACTTTTATGCCATAGGAAGAAGGTTAAGCCTATTTGTACATTTGTATTTAAGACAGTTTCTCAACATATATTGACGTAGTACTTCGATGATCGCAACGAATTAGTGTTTTAGTCAAATTAAGTGTACCCAGCTAGATAAATTATCGAGAGAATTTAGGTCTATAATTAAGATATTTACTTTTTAAACAATAGTACCAATTATGGTACGATTTTTCTTAAAAATGGATTTCGTATTGAACTTTTACTAAATATATGTTCATTTAAAATAGGCCAAGCAAACTCTAAAAATACAGTGCTCTTCTAACAACTGAAATCTGAATTGAGGGGTTTAGTGCCATACAATGGGCCTAACCCTCAAAATGTTAAAAATTGAGTTGGTGAGATAATTTTGTTTAGAATAAAAAATACTTTAATGCAATAATAGCCTATTTTTGTTTTTTTTTTTAATTTTACACTAGATAGCAACACTATTTATATTGTTGCATTAATAAATTGTATATACTCGTAAGAATTTTAAAAGATGTATTCCACACAATAACTGTTATGTGGCATAGGCCACTGTTGTGCTCAACCCCTCAAATAACCTATGTATTACAAATGTTTTTTTACAAATTTTTACACAAAAATCGACTATATTTACTTTTGTAAACAGTGATATGTTGTTAATACAACACTTGGATGAATCAATGATCCACCGCACAAAAATTTAAAGTTTGAGTTATCTTCTGTAAAAATGGCCATCATCCATGGAAACTCTGCGAATTGGGCTTCGTTGTTAGTGTGGCCAGTTATTCTGAATCCTATTCCGTCAGAATTCCAGTGGCCACAGCCTTTGTATGTTTCTTTATACTTAGATGGAGATTGTGTTGTATAGTCGTTTATATCCATAGGATGGTTGCAACACATTTCCATGTAATTTGTGCAAGGGCCATCTTTAAATCTACAGTAAGAAATATGTCAGTTATGATATGTTTACTCCATGTACAAATTAATATACCTTTTAAACCAAATAATAATAATAATTACTAAAAGTAATTATCATACTTTGGTATATACAATGTTAACGGTGTAATTCAAATTATAATAAAAAAAACCCATTTGTTTGGATATAATATAGTGGTGCTCACTCAATGAAAACCCTGAAATTATTTGTAATACTCCAAGTGCTCTCAGATTTTCAACTGGGAATATTTTATTAGCTTTTCAAGGACCCCATTATGGTTATTAGCTTTGTTGTATATAAATTTTTTTGGTAGGCGTTTCAAAGATAATTATATAGTTTTCGTGTATAATCAATGAATCATATTTATTAAATAAGTTATACAGTAGCGTTAGAGTCAACAATTATACTTATAGCAAAAAAATTAAATAATACCCATTCATAAATCGTTTAACTTATTATAATTAATTATTTTTAATTTTTATATTATAAGACTCTTAAAGTGCCAGGAGACACAAACATGGATTTGAATAACTGTATACAACTTAGTCCTTATTATTATAATTTCTAACATTCTACAATTAGTACAGGTGGAATTTTTTTATAATATAAAATTTATATTACCCTGAAATTTCTTACTCTTGAATATTAATTATTTTAAATTTTGCAGAAAAAATAACTTGTAAGATTACAGGGTAAATAAAATTAGTAAAAGTAATAGGTTTTAATAGGTTCTCATTAGAAATTTAAATCTGAATTCATTAAATAGTATCTTAAAAAGAGTTACACAAGATTAGTATGAGTATTCTATATTAAATATAGAGAGTTTTCAAGAAGCAAGGAAAAGGTCATAGTGTAAATTCTATTAAATATTGAATGCTAATAGGTAGGGGTCGGTGTCGCGCAGGCTTTTAAATATTATTTAGTTTTTAGTCGGAAACCGGACGTTGTTTGTGACATTAGTGCACCTGTAAGCACCCAAAGCGAAACGTCTTATCGTAAAATGTAAAAACAATCCACATTAAAGATCATAAGATTGCGTTAATATTACTTGAGCTATCGACCATTTGGTCCATTCGGCCGCGGAAGCAATTGATCCATTTATTCGTAATTCGTAAGTAATAGAGACCGTGTGGTCAGGCGGCAAACTGTGCCGTGGTGCGGAAGGTGCAAAATTAATGAAAATCGTGAATTTTTGGTCATCTCATTAATAAAATCCGTATTAATAAATCGTTGTATTAACTTCGTAATTATCGTAAGAAAAGAAAATACAATTGAAGAGAACGTCGCATTACCGTCCAGGAAGAAAGACTCAAAAATGATACAGTCAGTAATTTATTTCCATTTTATTCCTTATTAAAAAAAGAAAAAATAATTAACTAGAGGTTATATCTATTTTTTTTTATGTAATTGTATAAAAAATAAAAATAGCGTAGCTTTGGGTTTGCCCAAGAAAGCAAGGTATTTATATATAAGAAAGAATAGTATTTAGTAATAAGTAGAAATTGTATCATTGTAAAATCGAGATAAGTGCGAATAGGTTCATTGTAAATATAGTACGAGTAGGTGTGGAGTAGTAATAACAGCTGTATAATTGCGAGAGATAACATGGCGATTTTAAAAATCTAATAATGCGGAAAGGGCAACTGAAATCGTCGCTGACGAGGTTTGAGAAGTTGATCAGAGAACTGAAAGCGACGAGATAAATCAACTAAAATAAAAGAGGCGAAATATAGACGAAATATGAAGCGAGTTTAAAGTGCCATTGAGATAGAATCGGAAGAAGAAAGTCAAGCGACTCATCGAAAAGATTTTGAAGATGCATTTTGTAGAAGTGTTACTGCAGCCGATAGTTTTATTCAAAATAAAGAAACGCCTAGTGTAAATAATAGAGTTGCACAAGTTATAGAGGCCGAACATAACATATCGTCACCTAAATTGCCTATAAATTTGCCACTAGTAACGTTACCGATAATTGGGGTCCGTTAATGGTTCATATTGTTATGATTAAATGACTACGCGCTTGGGAAACATCTGCTTGTCAACACAAAAGTAGCAGAGCCAAATGAATTATTAGAATTTTTATAAAGCCGTTTTAAAAATATTAGAATCGATGAAAACATCAAAAACGATCACTACGCGTGTTCTAGGAGTAAATGATCTAAGTAGTCAGAACCAAAAATATAAAGAAAAAATGATTTACTAAATCATTAGCAGTAGCTGATAAAAAATTGGAATGTTTTGTATGTAAAAGTCTGCATACAATTTATCATTGTCCTACCTTTTTAGCGTTATCGGTCAAGAGCGTATAAATAAAGTGAATGATTTAAAACTTTGTCGAATTTGCTTGAGGCATCGTGCGGGTAAAAAATGCGTTATCGAAATATTGTTTGCGATGCTCAAAACCGCATAATTCTTTGTTACATTTCGTTCTGCGCACTACAACTGTTACACCTGATCCGAACGTAAACAATAGCACACAAAATCCGAATCGGTAGAACCGGTAGACACTAGAGATGTTAAGTTCGTGAACGAATAGTTCATTTAAACTATTCACTTAGATGAATNGATGTTAAGTTCGTGAACGAATAGTTCATTTGAACTATTCACTTAGATGAACTATTCTGAACTGTTTCAGTACCTGTAACTTAACAGTTCACAGTTCGAAAAAAATTGGTAGCAATGTATAAATGAAATAGTTCGCGAACTTCTTTAAAAATTCTCTGTGGTTCGTTGTTCGAAATACTGTAAATGGTTAATAGCTGTTTACAATTAGATAACAAATAAATTATATTGTTAAAATGTTACACGGTTTTTAACTGTTTAACAATAAAATAAATTCATACTATGTACAAATATTAGATCAGATTTCTGATTTAACTTAGGACTACTGGTCAGTATATCTACCTTGAATTAGGTGATAATGATAACATGAGCCATGAGGGTATTGATAATAATTTTTCCTTAGTTTATGATGTTCAGGTTAAGGGTTAGTTTATAACTTAATCGCCCATAAGTAGTGTGAACTACAACTGAACTGTGTACTGCTATACTAATATTGATAAAATGAATAGTTCATTGCCAAACAATATCAGCATGATCAATAAAATTAGTGAACTTAAGAATAGTTCATTTGAACTATTCACTTGAATGAACTATGAACTAATGAACTATTCACAGAAATGAACTAAACTTTCCATCTCTAGTAGACACGACGAAATCGTCTCTACCTTTGAACAATTCGTTTTATCAGCCGCGGCAGTATCAATACAAGACAATAACAATAAGCTACAACCGTGCCGCCTTTTGTAAGATTGCGAGATGAGTCGATCGGCGTGTTAGATAGCGCAGGAATGAAATTAGCGAAGTGGTCGTCAAATGATCCCGAGTCATTAACAAATACTACAACGGATAATAATAATGAGGATTCAGTCGTAAATTATTCAACTGTTTTGAAACCCAACTTATCTAGAGTACTCGGTTTTCTATGGGATCCAACAATGGGCCATACATTTACTTATAATATTTTGAGACAACCGTCGGATGTACAAATTACCAAACTAACGATTTTGTCATATATCGCTGCAATTTACGACCCACTGGGGTTTATTGGACCGGTCACGTTGAGATGTGAAATACTCGTACACAATTATGGCAATTAAGATCAGGACGGGACGAAATTTTATCGGGCGAGTTTATTGATCGTTGGAAGGAGATCGTTAGCGATTAATTATGGATAAACCAAACAATAATACAACGGCGGTGCACTGATGTAAGTAATGAGTTAAACATTTTCAAGTACACGGATTTGCTGATGCATCGTAGAAAGCATACGGCGCGTGTTAATATTTTCGTTGTACGGGTAATACAACTGGTAAAATCAGTTCACATCTCATTTGCGCTAAATCGAAAGTCGCGCCTCTAAAAATAATTTCATTACCTTGAACGGAATTATGCGCTGCGTTACTACTTGTCAGATTAGCAGAACATATTATACCTAAATTATGTTTAGATATCAAACAAACATTTTTGTGGTTCGACTCGAATGTNGCGTTACTACTTGTCAGATTAGCAGAACATATTATACCTAAATTATGTTTAGATATCAAACAAACATTTTTGTGGTTCGACTCGAATGTTGTTTTAGCTTGGATTAGGTCATCTTCTAGCAATTGGGGAAGACGTTTGTAGCGAATAGAATTGGTGAAATACATGATTTAAGTAATGTAAACGAATGGTCTCGCGTTAGAACAGAGCAGCACGCTGCTTCCACAAACGTTTTTCAGCGTCATCCGATCATTTTACCAGCAAATTGCGAATACACTTATTCATTATTGCGTAATGAGCACGAGAAATTGCTTTGTCTTCAATTAGATTACGCTAAATTAAATGCTAGAAATACCCTAAGAAAAATTATTAAAAAGTTACGCATGTGTTATTCGTACGCTTTGTCACAAAGGCGATTCATATTGAGTTAGTTAATGATTTAAGTACTCAAGATTTTTTACGAGCGCTGCGTCGATTTTTCGCCCGTAGAGGAAAAAGTCGTATAATATATTCTGCACAATGCTACAAATCTAACAGGAGAGTGTAGGCAACTGCGAGAAATATATGATTTGTTTTATTCGGAGGCGCATAGAAATTTATTTAGCGAATGATAAGATAGAGTGGAGGTTTATTCCCCCACAGTCCCCACACTTTGGGGGTTTATGGGAATCCGCGGTGAAGAGCATGAAAAGTGTTTTAAAAATAGTATTAGGCGAGTTTCGTTTAACATATGATGAAATGTATACCTTGCCTGCTAGGGTAGAAGCGTGTTTAAATTCTCGACCTATTACTTCTCTATCCTCTTGTCCGACCGATCTTACTGCGTAAACTCCTGATCATTTTCTTACCGGAGAGGCTCTAACAACTATGACAGAAAGGGAAGAGACTGATGTACCATTGAATAATATTGATCGTTGGCGCCGCGTGAACAAGTTTTCACAACAGCTGTGGAA